AGTGGGATTAGGAGCATGCAGAGATGATCACCCCAGGGGCCGACTTAATTGGAGAGAGCGCTTTCCAAGGCTGTCACATCCACCCTCCTACCCCGTTTACCAAAGCCCAAAGGTGCAGAAGAGGAAGCAGCTGGCTGCCTTTGTTTGAAGGCAGCGATCCCCCCCACCACCACTAATCTGCAGTCTCCTGGACTGAAACATAAACTTATCCACATGTGCCAATAAATGTCCTATCTAAGACTTGGCCCATCCATCACGCTGAGAATGTTCTTGCAGGGCTAATTGACCATACATAAATTTCCTATTGAAAATTAAAGCAAAAAAGATGTGAAGGAGTGGAGAGGATTTTTTTTTTTTTTTTTTTTTTTTTTTTTGGGCAATGAGTTCTTGGAGTGAAGGATACTTTTCCAAAGAGGAATTGGATGGGGGTAGAGAAAAAACATATAATCATATTTTCCAGTCCTTATAAGAGATAACTATTGAGATACTGATTCCAAATTTCTCCACACTGACACTCAAGGGGCTTCCCAATATTACTGTTATTGTTTCCATCTTATAGCTCACCAGTAGGCACTCAGGGAGCCCACTAAACCAACTTGTTGTGATCTTTGCTGGAACTTTCCTTACCCTTAGTTTTGTGTGCATGTGCATACTGTGTGTGTGTGTGTGTGTGTGTGTGTGTGTGTATGTGTGGTGTGTGCATGTCAGCATGCATTTGTGTGTACGTGTGTTTGTGTGAAGGTGAGAGGCTAGCCTCTGCAATCATTCCTCAGATGCTGTTCACCCTGAGTTTTGAGACAGAATCTCTCCCTGGCCTGGAGCTTGCCTATTCAGATAGCCTGACTGGCCAGCCAGTCTCAGGATCATTTTGTCTCCACCTCCTCTGTTTTGGACTTAAAAGCACATATCTTGTCTCTATCACACCGAGTCTGTTTTTGGAGATCTGGAATTCACTATGTAGACTATGCTGGTCTTGAATGCATAGATTTCTGCCTCTGTCTGACTCCTAAGGGTTAAGATTAAAGGCGTGCATGACCATGCCCAATATTTCCTCCTTCCCTTCCTCTCTCCCTCCCTCCCTCCTTACATTCCTCCCCTCTCCCTTTCTTTTCCTTCTCCTTCCTTCCTTCCTTCCTTCCTTCCTTCCTTCCTTCCTTCCTTCCTTCCGTCCTTCCTTTCTTTCTTTTTGTAAGCTTCAGGGATTGAACTCAGGTCCTCACGCTTGCATGGGACATACTTCCACGGCAACATTACCAACAGAGCCATCTCCCTAGCTCCAAGTCTACGTTTATGATGTCATGTTGGGAACACGACCACCACAGAATTCTCCCAAACTCACAAAGCACTCCCTCACCTGGACCCAATCATGAAGCAGTCACGAGCATGCACTGCTCTGTTCTGACCTCAGCACACCAACTTGCTCTGCTAGCTAGTGTTCCTTCCTTCCGTGAAACCGGCTGACCAATGCCTTCAGCCCTCTAATGTTCACAGCTGTTCCAATCAGGAAAACTGCACGCTTAGCGAGAGTCAATTATTCTTGTCCCCAAACCTGTTCATGCAAATATATTTCTTATGGCAATTATAGAATTAGGTAAATATTGCAGTACTGATGGAATTGAGGATGAAAGTAATAGAGTTGTCATTTCTATGAAAATTAAGTCGAATGCTTGGGAAAGACTTAATAAAGGCAAATTGCTTAACAACTGCTGTCAAATTAAGTGCAGGCAGCAACTGTAAAATTTGGGGATGATTATACAAATCTGGAAGGATTCTGAGCTTCAGTTGCTTTTAAGTGTCTTGCTTCGCTTCAAGTCAATAAAGCAGGATATTTGGAGAACTTCAAGTAGATAGCCTGTATCCAATGGATGGATGCATATACATACACATGTACTCATATATTCATTACATATACACATATGCTCATATATATATACACACACAAACACACATGCACATACATGCACACATACATGTACATTTATACCCATATACATGTACACATGCTCAGACACATCCCTAGGCTCATCATACATGTATACTTACATATATACACAGGAAAATATGCACACACATATATACACATAAAAATACATATACACATCTACACAGCATATGCACATACACAAACACATACACACCCACATACATAAATATATGAGCTATGGTATGTTTTGCAAGTGTATTTTCAGTGGTCTTTTATGATTGAACGTCTCATCCACTTTCACTGAGATGAACTGGTAAATCTCATCTTGTTGTTTGAGGTAACCTGTGCTACCCCATTATTTCAGATATATACGCATGACTTTAGTCAAAGATGCTGCCATATTGTTGTAACTTTGGCAGCTTGAAGGTCAAATGCAGTTTTCATCTTGACACTGACTGTATTAGTCAAGATTTACTAGAGATCTGGAGCCAAGATGAGTGGGTTTGTGTGTGTACAGTTCTGTTATCTATGTATCAACCTGTGTACTTTTGTATCTTTTTATCTTTGTATCTATCTGTCTATCTATCTATCATCTGTCCGTCTATCTGTCTATCATCTATCTGTCTGTCTGTCTGTCTATCATCTATCTATCTGTCTGTCTGTCTATATATCATCTATCTATCTATCTATCTATCTATCTATCTATCTATCTATCTATCATCTGTCCGTCTATCTGTCTATCATCTTTCTGTCTGTCTGTCTGTCTGTCTATCATCTATCTGTCTGTCTGTCTATCTATCATCTATCTATCTATCTATCTATCTATCTATCTATCTATCTATCATCTATTTATTCACCCACCCACCTATTATCTGTCTGTCTTCTCGGGGGCCTCAATTATAAATTATGACCAGATTATCAAGAAATTGTTGGGCCATTATTTGGAGAGAATTTTGAAAGCACAAAATAGTGTAAAGAAGAAGACACTAATCCTCATTTGTCTTTGCAGTTTCAAAGTGAGGATTTTAAACATTTAGGACCATTTTCTCCAGATTAAGTTTAAAGGAAGATATACAGGCTCGGGGTTATGGTATACTAATATGATATAGCACTTGGGAGTTGGAGGCAGGAGGATTGTGAATTCAGAGTCAGCTTGGACTACATGTCTAGACTCTATATCAAACAGAAAAAGATTAAAAAATAGGAATAACAGCTGAAGTTGTCCTCTGACTTCCACAGACTTGTATCCCTGCCTTTACACCCGCACCCACACATACCTGTACCCACTTACATAATACACACAGGCACCCAAACACCAAAATAAGATATCCAATAAATTATGATGCATAGAAAAGATGTGTGGGAGAGAAGGGGACGGGGGAGGAGAACTTGAGGGAACAGGATGGTCTAGATGGAGGAAGGACAGAGATGAGAGCAAGGAAAGAGATATTTTGATTGAGGGAGCTATTATGGGGCTAGCAAGAAACCTGGCACTAGAGAAATTCCCAGGAATTCGGAGGAGAGCGGGCCCGAACTGGCCTTGCCCTGTAGTCAGATTGATGAATATCTCACCATAGAACTTTCATCCAGCAACTGATGGAATCAGAGGCAGAGATTAGCATCAGAGCACTGGGCTGAACTCCCAAAGTCCAGTTGAAGAGTGGGAGGAGTGAGAATATGAGCAAAGAGATCCAGATCATGATGGGTACACCCACTAAAACAGTTTGCCTGAGCTAATGGGAGTTCACCAACTCCAGCCAGACAGGGAAGGAACCAGCATAGGTCCAAATTAGTTCTTTTGAATGTGGGTGACAGTTGTATGACTGGGGCAGACTGAGTGGCACCAGGGTTTATCCCTACTGGCTTTTTTGGAAGTTATTCTCTTGGGATGGATACCTTGCTCAGCCTAGATACAGTAGGGAGGGACTTGAACCTTCTCCAAAGCAATGTGCCTTATTCTCTCTGAGGAGTGGATTTTGGGTAGGATGGGGGGAGGGAGTGCAAACTGGGATTGGTATATAAATAAAAAAAAGATTTTTTCTTTTTAAAATAAATAAATAGTGAAATAAAATAAAATAATGTGTGAATGGGGCCTGTCATAGTTTTATTTCTTTCTGTGACCGGTATCTGACAAAGCCAACTTTGGGAGAAAGAAGTTTATTTTAGTTACAATCCCCGTATGGTAGGGAAGTCAAGGCAGCAATTTAAACCATTACGGCCACAGTCAAGAACAGAGAGGATGAATCCAAGAATAAATGCTTGCTTTCTAGATTTCTCCTCCCGCCAAGGTTCAAGATTAGCCTAGGGAATTGTGCTGCCCACAACAGGCTGGGTCTTCCTATATCAATTAACAATTAAGAAACCCCTCCCATGTCCATAGGCTAACCCAATGTAGACAAGCCCCAGGTGATTCTAGGTTGTGTCAAGGTAACAGTAAAAGCAATTACATGGTGTTTTCTGGTCTCAAAAAGATCTTATCCTATCAGCTGCAGAAATATCTGGCACTAGGGTACGTGGATCAAGTACTGATTGCAGGTCCCTGCCCTTGACTACTGGAGAAAACAGATGCGTAGGAGAGAATCATAATGGCAGCTGACAATAGATAGATGAGCCATTTGAGGCAGTGTGTAATTATACACAACATTATATGACATAGATTTTATGGCCTGGGATTGTGGACTGCCGTAGTTTATAATTTTCATTATCAAACCAAAAGCCACAGAACAAACACCAGGGAAACTTTATTTAAAGGTGATTGCTCATAAAGGGGAAAATAATTGGAATTTCACAAACCAGTAATTACAAAACCAGGAAAGGTTAGTCTGGTGTATTTTATAACCATAATATAAAAGAGAAATTGCAGGGGGACTTTAAAAATGTGCCTTTAATTAATTCTGTTAAAGGTTATTGTCTGAAATGAAAGAACAACCAAAAAAGAAAAAAAAAATCAAAGAACCATAACAAAGAAACCAACCCTACTTCACGAGGTGTTTAAGGGTCCTGAAGTTCTAAAATGGAATGCTTACTGTCTTAGTCAGTGTTCTTTTGTTGTGAAGAGACACCATGACCACGGCAACTCTGGAAAGAAACACATTTAGTTGGGGACAGTCTATAGTTTCAGAGGCTTAGCCCATTATTGTCGTGGCCGGAAGTATAGTGGCAGGCAGGACGACACGATGCTGGAAAGGGAATTTTTAGTTCTACATCTCTATTTCTAGGCCTCAGTAAGAGAGACACACTGAGTCTGGCTTGAGCAAACCCCAAATCCCACCGCCAGTGACACCTCCAACAAGACCACACTTCCTGGCAAGTGGTGCCACTCCCTAACGACCAAGCATTCCAATCTGTGAGTTTATGGGGGCCATTGCTATTCAATCCATCACACTTGGTAACTAAGGAAAGTTCTATAATCCAAACTCATCTTTTCAAAACGTATTTATGTCTATATTTTTAGTTAGGTATAATGCGCGCGCAACCATGTGGGCACAAGTATCCATTGGATCCCCATGAACTGGGATTACTGAAGGTTGGGAGCCCCTTGACTTGAGTGCTGGAAATAAAACTTAGTTTCTCTGCAAGAGTCTTCTTTGCTCCAGCTCCCCCTTTAAAAATTAAATAATTAATTAGTGTATGTGTGTTTGCGCATGTATGCACAGGTTTGTGTGTGTGTGCATATGGAGGCAAGAAGGCATCAGATTCCTCAGAGTCTGAGTTATGTTTATTTTACGGACACTTAGTGTTAGCATTCAGGTATTTACACTGGCCTATTCTTGGTGACCTAGTAGTTCAACAGTAGCAGCCAAGATGGGATACTGTAGCTGCTCCAGCCACTAAGCAGATCACTCCCTATGCGCATGCGCTATGTCCCTTTCTGAAATTTCAGCAAACCCTTTCTCTTTCCTTCTGCTCTCACTGAGAGGCCGTATCGATAAACCTCCCACATGAGCTCTGTTTCATGGTTTGACTTTGTGGTGCCCCTTGGCTCCGATTGGCCATGGTCATCTTCTGCTGATAGACTATTACACTTGGCTTGGTACATGGTTGCTGGGATCTGAACTTTTTTCCTCATGAATGAACAGCAAGCCCTCTTAATCATGCACTTATCTCTCCAGCCCCATAAGTAGGTGAAAAGGAAGCATGAAACACGCAACCAACCCGCTAAGGAGTTTATTAGAGGAGACGTGTACAGGTCTGGTGAAATCGGTGTGCAGCGGGAGAGTGCAAAATGGCATGGCCAGCTTTTAAAGGTTGCGTTGCACATGCGCACAGGGAGATGACGTGGTTACCTCATAAGCAGACGACAGAACTCACGCATGCGCGCAAGGGCTCATGCAGCTGCGTCATACGTAGGTAATACAAGCATGCTGCACGTGGATCACTCAGGACCCTTTAAGGGCCCCGGGGGACACTAGGCACTTCTGCCTGAGGGCTTGTCCACACATGTATGGCCCTGGAACCCAGAAGTGCCAGCCGTGTGCTGGTTTGTCCAAAATCATAACAGTAGGTCCTGTGCCAGCCTGGTGCTTATTTTGTGTGACTCAGTGATATCAGTTGTTTTGGTCGTTATATTGTCCTAACCAAATGTTGTGACTTCTTACTGTTAAGTATATTTGGGAGGCTGGAAAAACTGGTTCAGTGGCCATGAGGGCCACAGTTCCCAGGACCCAAATCTCATGGCTCACAACTGTCTGTAACTCCGCCTTTAGGGGATTTCCCCCTTCTTCTTCCCTTCTCTTCCCTTCCCTTCCTTTCCTTTTCCTCTCCCCCCTTTTCTTTTTCATTCGCCTGTATGTGCACATGTGTGCATGCCTTTGTGTGTTTTTGCATGTGAATGTGGAGGCCAGAAGACAACCTTGGGTGTCCAGCCTCGGGGTCACCCACCATGTTTTTCTGAGACAGGGTCTCTCCCAGGCCTGGAACTAGCTGAGTAAGGCTAGGCTGACTGGCCAGTGGGGTCCGGAATTTTCTTGTCTGCCTTCTCAGTATTGGATTACAAACTCAAGCTTATTTTTAACATGGATTCTGGGGGGTCACACTGAGGTCTTTATGCTTGCACGGCGAGTTCATTGTCAACAGCTGTCTGTCTTCTCAGCCTTGTTCAGAGTTTTCTTTCTTTTTTCTAAGAAAAGCTCAAGTTAGAGCTATCACGCATTTTGATGTTTTCCTGTAAATAATTTAGGGGGAGGGGAGTGAAATAAAACAGAATTTTTCTGCTAAATATTGATGCGGGAACCGTTCCTCGGAGAAGATTGCAAGTGATGATTGCAATTAGAATCTCTTTATCTGCCTTTAGAAATCAGCGGTTTTTGGGGGTGGGGTGGGGGCAGGCTTGTAGTGGGTTATTAACACTGACTGCTGTCGTATTCACATGGTGCTTTGGAAGCACCCCGGGAGGTACTGAGTCATCAATAGCACCCTCACAATAAGGGTTGATATGGGACCCATAGAACCAGTCCCATGTGAGTCTGAAGCAGGTGTTCAATCCGTGCTACCACACGGATTGTGGTATAATAATAGTTCAATCTGAGCCTACCACAACATGGCTTAACAGAGGAGGGTGGCAGTGGGGAGCCGAGCTCTGATGTGGGTGGAAGGTAACAAAACTTTGAAATGATGTAGTTTGTCCCATCCAAGAGTTACGTGGAGGAAGTTTGGTCTCCACTGTAGCAGCACTAAAGTGATGGGACCTTTGTAAATTCAATTAATTGTGTAAAGATGTATTCTTATTCGTTTGTGTGTGTCTGTGCGTGGGTGTACTCATATGAGTATAGGTGGCCATGGAGGCCAGAGGCATTGAATCCCATAGAACTGGGGTTACGGGCAGTTTTGAGTCCCCTGATGTGGATGTTGGGAATCAAACTCTGGTCCTCTGCAAGAGTGGTACATACTCTTAACCACTAAACCATCTGTCTGGCCCTGAGGTGACGGGACATCTGGGAAAGGTGGGATGCAGTGGGATACTTACTATGTTCTGGGCATGACCTGGTCGTCACACTCTTGGTCTCCCGGAAGCTGTGCCTGCCTCCACAGGACCTACACAACAGGAGCAGTCAATCGTGAGACCCCCTCCCTGGTCGCTGCGGGAGGGAGAGGCATTTGCTTTAGTGGTATAGACAGTGGGAAACTGCTCATGCTCCTGTAAATAAACCCTCACCCTTAATGGAACTCAGGATGTCAAACACAAAGACTCAGAAGCCTCACACGCTTGCTTTTTTGTTGCCTGATAGAAAGAACATTCTGACGGAAAGCAACTTGGGGCAGCAAGGGGCAAGTCTGACTGCTACTTCTTGGTCATCATCCATCACTAAGGGAAGTCAGGGCAGAACTCAAGGCCTGAAAGAGAAGGCAGGAACCAAGAAGGAATGCCACTCGTTAGCTGTCTAACTGGATTCTGTTTAGCTAATTTTTCTCATACAGAGCAGGATCCACAGTAGGCAGGGCCCTTCCATGGTCTCAATCCAAACCATCTCTGACAGACATGACCACAGGAATATGAGGTCTGGACAATCCTTCCGTGGAAACTCTGTCTTAGTTTGGATTTCTGTTGTTGTGATAAAATGCTGTGACCAAAAGAAACTTGGGGAGGAAAGGATTTTTTTTGGAGCGGGGGCACACACCATCATTGAGGGAACTCAGGGCAGGAATTCAAGGCAGAAACCTGGAGGCAGGAACTGAAGCAGAGACCATGGAGAAACACTGCTTACTGGCTTACTCTTTCTGGCTTTCTCAGCCTGGTTTCTTAAATATTCCAGAACCATCTGCCCCAGGTGCTGGTGTCCCTAGTGAGCTGGGCCCTCCCAAATCAATCATCAATAAAATTTCCTGAAGATCTGATTTTGAAAATATTATAAAGGCATAATTCTCAATTGTTCCTTTTCCCAAACTCCAGTATGTGTCAAGTTGACAAAAATTCCATCTAATCCAGACTCTCCCAGACAACTGTGCCAGGCTGGTGGTTGATGCTAGGGAGCACACACATACACTCTCTCTCCCGAATACACTCGTGCACTCGTGGATAGCTACAGATTCACACTTGTGAACACGTGCGTACAAATGCACACACACTCAAGCACACAATACATACCTTCACACCCTCACAGCTTTACAGACACACCCTCAAGCATACACACACACACACCATTCATACACGTACTCTCAAACACAGACTGACAGGCACACACATTAGCACTCACACACACACACAGCCACATTCACTCTAACAACCTTCACTTTTACACACTCCCACAGGCTCACGAACACTCAGGTACATACATACTCATCTTCATTCATAGACGAACTCAGCTTCCACACACACAAAGCTTATGTGGTTCGTGTCTTATGGATTCCCGTCCTGCACTCATTCTGATCTATTCAGTTACTGGAGGATGCTCTGGAATGCTTTCTACCCCTGAAACTTCAATTAACCAATTGCTTGGGGGGAAGAGGGTGCTATGGTTAATTGAATTATCTGATTAACTGAAAGTTAATTAGCCAGAAATCTTGGAATTCTAAGACATGCTGTAAACAGCCTAGCAGAGACTTTCTTTCTTTCTTTCTTTCTTTTTTTTTGTGTGTATTTTAATTGTGTCCATATGAGTACACACATTGTCAGGATGACATGCATGTGTGTGTGTGCACATGTGAGTTCAGGGGTCTTTGGATCCCCTGGAACTGAATTTATAAGCAGTTGTGAGCCACCTGATGTGGGTGTTGGGAACATAACTTGGGTCTTTTGCATAATCAGTACATATTCTTAGCCACTGCCATTTCTCCAGGTCTGACTTTGTTGTTTCTGAAATAGAGTCTCTCACTGGCCTGGAACTTGCCAAGCAAGCTAGGCTGGCTGGTCCAGGAGCCCCAGAGATCTGTCTGTGTCTGTCTCCCCACTGGTAGTATTACAAGCAATCCACTCAGCCTCCTTCCTCCTCCACCTCTTCCTTCTCCACCTCTTCCTTTTTCCCAGTGCAGGGACTTGAACTCACGTCCTCATAATTGCAAGGCAAGCACTCTATTGACAGAGTCATCTCCCCAGCCTCTATAGCTCAGCTTCTTCATCACAAAATGTGTATCTATTTAGCTAAGTTGTCTAGTGTCATAAATGGATCTTACACCCATGGTGCCTTGACTGGTATTATCAACATGGCCTGAGGTCATATGAGGGAAACAGAGACATAGGAAAAGATGAAACAAAGACTCTACGACACTGTGACCAAGGCAACTTATGAAAGAAATCATTTAATTTGGGGCTTATGGTTCCAGAGAGCCAGAGGCTATGGCCATTGTGGTAGGGAACGTAGCAGGCAGGCGTGGTGCTGCAGCAGTAGCTTAGAGCTCACCTCTTCAACAAGAACAAAGCAGAGAGAACTAACTAAGAATGGCATGACCATT